TTGCCTTTCTGTTTCGTTGATGGTTTTGATGTGCAGAAGTTTTCTAGTTTGAATAGGTCCCATTTGTTTTTGCTTTTGTTGACCTTGCCATAGGAGACATATCCAAAGAAATATCGGTTAGACTGATGTCAAAGAAGTTACTGCCTATATTTTCTTCTAGAAATTTTATGGCTTAAGATCTTATATTTAAGAGTTTAATTCATTTTGAGTTTATTTTTGTATATGGTTTAAGAGAGTGGCCCAGTGTCATTTTTCTCCTTGTAGTTGTTCAGTTTTCCCAAAGCCATTTATTGAAGAGATGTTTTCACATCACATACCCTTCATCCCTTGTTGTAGATTCACTGACCATACGTGCATGGGTTTATTTCTGGGCTCTCTATTCTTTCCACTGTTCTATGTGTCTGTTATTGTGCCAGCACCATACTGTTCTAACTATGTAGCTTTCTAGCTAAAGCTGTAGTAATTAAAGTCTGAGAGTATGATACCTCCAGCTTTATTCTTCCTCCTAGAAATTGCTTTGACTGGGAATTCCCACATGTCCAGTGGTTAGGATTTGGTGCTTCCACTGGGGCCAGGGTTCAATCCCAGGTTGGGGAACTTAGATCCTGCGAGCCTCTAGGTGTGGCCAAGAAAATAAAATTTAGGAAATATAAGGATTGCTTTCGTTCTTTGAGGTCTTTTGTGGTTCTATACAAATTTTAAGATAATTTTTTCTAGTTCTGTGGAAAATGCCATTGATATTTTGATAGGGATTGCATTGAGTCTGTATATTGCTTTGCATAGTATGAACATTTTAACAATATTGATTCTTCCAATTCATGAGCACCAAAAATCTTTGTTTGTTGTCACCTTCAGTTTCTTTCCTCAATGCCTTTCCATTTTCTGAGTACAGATCTTTTACCTCCTTAGGTAAGCTTATCCCTAGGTATTTCATTCTTTTTGACACAATTGTAAATGGGATTGTTTTCTTCATTTCTCCTTCTGATAGTTCATTATTAGTGAATAGAGATGCAACAGATTTCTGCATATTAATTTTGCATCCTGCAACATTACTGAATTTATTTACTGATTCAAGTACTTTTTTGGTAAAAATCTTTGGAGTTTCCTATATATAGTCTTATGTCATCTGCAAATAGTAACAATTTGACTTCTTTCTTTCAATTTAAATGCATTTTATTTCTTTTTCTTGCCTAATTGCTGTGTCCAGGACTCTGTGTTTCTTGAGGGTAAATACCTTTTTGTCCCTGAATCCCCCAAACCTAGCAACACATCCTAGAACATAGTATTACACAAATGATTATTGAATGAATAGGTTGAATGAATGGATGGACTTTGGGCCTTTGGTGGGGGCTTTTTTGTTTGTTTGTTTACTTTGACTTTTTTGATGTCATAGTCACACATACAGCTCTTTTTCTTTAAACAACAATGACCCTGCTATGCTCCTGATAATCTCGGTGTCCTACTTATGAAACCAATTCCGTCTACCATAAGTTATTTTTAAAAAGCTCTCACAAAGAACCAAGTCTGTTTCTGGACTACTATTCCCTACCCACTGAAAGCAAGCTTGGGTATTTAGGGCACTGTTGACAAATATAACACTTGGAAAGCTAAATTTAGCATAGAACACAGGGTAGAATGGCTCTTATCACTGGACTCACCTCCAGGTTTCCACCCCTTTTAAAAATAACCCATACAACATGCATCAGGTACAAAAGAATGCTCCAGTTTAAAGCACAGGATCCAGCTGGATCCTGGATTATAGTTGTACATGAAAAGTCTTTCAGAAATGTGTCTATTTACAAACTATCAGTATGAGAATATAACAGGGCAAAATGGCTATGTTTAAAGAAATGAGATATCCAAAGAATTAACATTGCTATTGAAATGAATAGGGCAATGACATAATCGGGAAATGAAAAGGGAAGAGTCAAAGATTTTATTTAGTGGACATTCTTGAAGGGAAATGGTCTTCCCAGTGATGCATCATTCTCTCTACGCTGCTGTCTCTTGTGTCCAATGAAGCCTGTGTGTTCCTTGCAAACATGATCTATATACTTTACCGTTGCATTTTCCGCAGCAACCTGCCAGACCTCTCTGTCCATGTCGTAATTAAAATATTCTTGCCTGGCCCAGGCAAGAATATTGTTATTGTAGTAGGCTGCCATTTCTTTCTCCAGTGGATCTTCCCTACCCAGGGATCAAACCTGTGTCTCCTGCATTGTAGGTGGATTCTTTACTGCTGAGTCATAAGGGAAGTCCCCTTATTAAATCACGAAAGCCAGTGTTAGTTGCTGAGTCGCGTTCGACTCTTTGTGACCCCGTGGACTGTAGCCCGCCGGGCTCCTCTGTCCATGGGATTCTCCAGGTAAGAATATTGGAGCGGGTTGCCATGCCCTTCTCCGGGGGATCTTCCTGACCCAGGGATCAAACCCGGGTCCACATTACAGGAGGACTCTGAACCTATCTGATACAGCCTATCTGAGCTACTGTAAGAGCCTCCAATTTCCTGTCCACCCTTTCCTGCAAGTCCCACTAAGAAAGACCCAGGGTCCTCTGCTGGGTCCCCCTTTTCATGGAAAATCTTGATGAAAGGGGAACCCCAGGGAATATAGGGCCAAAATAAAGGCCCAACACAGAGATCCTGCTCAGGCTTCAGAAGGGCTTAAAGAGAGTAGGGAAGGTCAGTGGGCTGCTCTGGGGAGTGGAGGAGACTGAGAGAGAGGCACGTGAGAAAAGAGGGTGCTTAGGAAGTCCAGATGCGACTAAGGAGGGGCTGCCTCATGAGCCCTGTCCCTTGATGTCAGAGCTTTTTTTCCTGCTGTCTCTCTGCTGGGTGTTTGTCTGCAACACCATGCAGCGATGGGTCCCTAGGCTACCACTGGTACCCAGAGGATGGCAGCCACTGATATCTCCACTCCCTCCCCCCGAGTCTCTGTGCCTAACTCTCCTGGGCACCGGCTCCACAGCTTCCCCTCCGAGGACCAGGCAGCCCCCTCCTGCCACCTTCCTCCCTGCAGCCTCTGGGCACGTGCTTTGTTACAGCTCACAGCTTCCGGGAGCCCCACTGCACTGGCCCTTCCCAACTTCCTGGCAGGGGAAAACCAAGAAGTGGAAAAATATGTGAGAACTGGGTTTTATCTATGCTACAAGAAAAAATAACCTCATTAGTCTTTGTTTAAATTTTTTATTGAAGTATAGTTTATTTACAATGATTCAGGGTTACAGCAAAGTGATTCTGTTTCATATATTACATATGTGTGTGTGTGTATACATATATATATATATATATATACATATAGATTCCTTTTCAGTTTCTTTTCCATTATAGGTTAATACAAGATATTGAATATAATTTCCCGTGCTTACAGTCTTGTTTACCTGTTTTATATGTAGTAATGTGTATCTGTTAATCCCAAATTCCTACATGCATAGATGATAAGTCACTTCAGTCGTGTCTGACTCTTTGCGACCCCATGAACTGTAGCCCACCAGTCCCCTCTGTCCTTGGAATTCTCCAGGCAAGAATACTGGAGTGGGTTGCCATGCCTGCTCCAGAGGATCTTCCCAATCTAGGGATCAAACCCATGTCTTCTGTGACTCCTGCATTGCAGATGTATTCTTTATCGCTGAGCCATTAATCCCAAATTCCACCCTCTTTTCCCACGTGCCTCTCTCTCAGTCTCCTCCACTCCTAATTTTATTCCTAATTTATCCTTGTCCCTACTTTAACCTTTGGTAACCATAAGCTTGTTTTGTATGTCTATGAATCTAACTTCTTTTTTTATAAATAAGTTAATTTGTATTATTTTTTTGGATTCCACATATGTGATATATTTGGCTTTCTCTGTCTGACCCACTTCACTTATGGGGTGATGCATGATAATCTCTAGTTCCATCCATGCTGTAGCAAATGGCGTTCATTCTTTTTTATGGCTAATATTCTTATTATATATGTGTGTGTATGTGTGTGTGTGAGTGTGTATACCCACATCATCTTCTTTATCCATTCATCTGTTAATGAACAGTTAGGTTGCTTCCATGTCTTGGCTATTGTATGTAAATAGTGCTGCTATGAACACTGCAGTGTATGTATCTTTTTGAATTAAGAGTTTTCATCTTTTCTGAACAAATGCTCAGGAGTGGAATTGCTGGGTCATATGGTAACTCCATTTTTAAACCTTATTAATGTTTAGACAATAAAATAAGCCCTGAACTAGTAGCCAGTAACTAGTGAGTTACTAAGAAAGAGCTGTTACCATTCATTAAAAAAAACCGTGGCATCTCTCATCTTCAGCAAGAGAGGCACATCTTGGGATCAGTTCTCAACAGCTGGAAGAAACCCGCAGGCCCCAGATAATGGTGCCTTTGGGAATCCCCGGTCTGTCCTACCATGGGGCCTCCGCCCGGGACACCTGTGCAGACCTGGTCATTCGCAGTGTCCGGCTGGGTCTCCCTGACACAGCCTCAGGGCCGACACCGCGCTCAGAACACACATCCGCTCATCACTGGCCACAGCAGCTAAGGAAGAGGATGAAATAAAAGAAGCCATCCTACACAGCAGGAAAAAGCTGCCCGCCTATTTCAGGCTGTCTGCCCGCGTTTTGTGGTGAGCTGTTTGGGAGACACACAGATGGGCCTGACTCTAAGAGTTCACATGTATACAATCGCAAGGGGGTGGCTGAGCTCTTTGGCGTCTTGGTGGTCACATGATGCTGGTCATACCGAGTGACGGTTATCACATCAGAGCCCACAGGAGTTATAAATACACCACCACCCAGCCTCAGCTGGATGACAATTGAGTAATGACAATAGAAATAGCTCACACTCCGAAAGACCATCTTTCCCCTTCCTGGAGAGCTTTTCTGAGATCATCAGCATTGCAATGGACAGACAGCCAGAGCCAGTTAGAGGGAGGCTTCAGATCTTTCAGAAGATGGAAAAAGAGCCTCAAGCAAGAGCTGGGTCGCCGGTCCTCGAGTACCACGCTGCCTTGGTCACAGGAGACCTGGAGCATCTGAAGCCCCTCATGGACAAGTTCTTCCAGGATGCCAACGTGGTGTTTGAGATCAAGAAGGACGAGATGGTGTGGCAGGTGAAATCCCCGGCCACGTTTGGCCTGTCAGGTACCTTCGCTCTTTTAAAGTCCTGTTATTTTTATGGAGCTGCTAACACATGTCTGAACTTATAGCTGCAGCGTGTAGACTGCTCACCAGGGTGCTGCATTTAACATGCTTGAAACAAAGACATCGACAAGCCAAACTCTGCGTGCACGATTTTTCAGGCAGTTTCTAGGTGATCAGATATGAGCGATCAGATTGGAAAAGCCAAACAGTGGGTGAGGAGTGCCCGTGCGATGCTGGAAGTGGCCTCTTGTCTTTAAAAAGAGATCTGGTTTGGGTGTTGATCTGCCAGAGCCTGGATCTGGCAGCCAGGGGGTTGGGAGATAAAGCACACCCTCCTTCAAGTGTGCCTGGAGCGGGCCCCCGGCGGGCAGGGCTGCGCATTTCCTCTGTGAATCTGTGAACTCCAGGGCAGAAGCGGGCACAGAGCCAGCCCTGGGCAGGGTGAGCCCTCAGGAGACACTCCTCCTGGACCCCAGGGAAGCCTGGGAAGGGGGAGGAAAGGGGAGAAACCAGAGGGCCTCAAGTCCTATATGCCTGCATTCTTGCCGCCTGGACGCTGTCGCTATGCACCGGGCAGGCAAACATGCCCCCAGGTAGAGAGAAGCCCACTTGCCCCCATCTGGGGTGGACGGACTAGCTGACCACCAGGCTGCAGCGTGGCTTCCTTGGCTGGAGCTCTGCCTGGGCACCATTCCGCCCCTGCCTCCCGATGCCACCCCTTTACCAAGAGGGTCCACATGTTGGAACCCGTGAGGATGCAAGGCTCTGTGATCAGCGGGCCAAGGGCCAGGGCCCCATGCTCTTGACTCGTGAGCTCTGGCAGACCAAGAATGAGGAATGGTGGTTTCCAGAGCACTGACACAGTCTGCCTGCACCTCACACGGGGAGAAGGGAGTAAACCCAGACCCTGCCAAAGGGCTAAGCAGCTCAGGGCAGCCAGCGAGGCGGCAGGAGCTGTGGGGAAGCGAGCACAGGTCTAGTCTGGGCACAACCCCTCCCAGCCAAAGGCACCCCAGCGCCTTTCCAGGTCTCCTCTCCCTCACCTGTCCCAGATCCTGTCCCAGACGGGGCATGCATCTTCCTCCAAAGGGCTGTGGGATGATCCAATCAAGAATGCCAACTGCCTGAATGTCTGATTAATGTATTTTTTAATCACATGTCTCATGGCCCTGGACACACTGGCAACATGCTGGAATGATGTAATTTCAGATAGATATTAATGTCAGCTCGTGGTCTGAATCAAAGTTTCCTTCCTCTTTACCGCCTTAATCTTTCCACCCCTAAGTGTGCTGTTTTTCTGTGGCACAACTGTACGACAGGAAATCAGAGCACCCTGGCAGGGAAGGGATGTTGAGTTATTACCAAGCAAAGGGCAGCCCGGAGCGTTGGTGCTGGCCCGTGGCCTCAGCGCAGGCTGGGAAGACAGGATGGACGCTGCAGGCCTCCGCGCTCTTTCAGCTCAGCCACCTGACTGCTCCACACTGGTCCAGCAGCAGAGATGACCCAGCCCAGGCTGAGAACAGGGGCCCCATGCTTCCTGCGGCCAATTCAGCGCCTCGTGAAGGGAGCCATGGGGAAGGGAAGACACAGGTTCACAGTTGCTAGCCCCTGGGTGCCACACCCACGATGGAATGCTGGCCCCCTGGAGCTTGCGGTCCCAGGAGACCATTCCCATGGAGGATGATGCTAAGGAGTAGCTCAGATGGTAAAGAATCTGCCTGCAATGCAGAAGGCCCGGGTCCTATCCCTGGGTGGGGAAGATCCCCTGGAGAAGGAAATGGCAACCCACTCCAGTACTCTTGCCTGGAGAATCCCATGGACAGAGGAGCATGGGGTCCCAAAGAATCAGACACGCCTGAGAGTCTAACACTTTCACGCACACACTTTTCACACATCACGTGGAGGGAAGCCTGCTTCTGTTTTGCTCCTGGTGGCAGAGCCTGGAGCAGGGGAGGGGATTATAAGAAGCAGATTGCTGATTCAGGTTTCTGGACTGAGAGAGCTGCCTCAGAAGGGGATTCTCTTGGAGGCCCGATAGAAGCTCATCACCGTCTCCAGGGACCTGGAGAAGGGGGCTGGCCCTAAGCTATGACACAGCTAAATGGCCATCCACGGCCTCTTCCTGTGAGTCCAGGGGAAGACTTCGGCATCTTGGCTGGGTGAACAGAGCTGCTGATGGTGGGTGGAGTAGAGCTGGGAACTTAGCATGCCCTAGTAAATGGAGCACCTGCTTCCTGGCCCCTCAGTACGTAAACTTCCTATCTAGGGAAAATGAGTAGAATCGAGGAGGAGGAGCTGGCCCCTACAAGAATGTATTCTCACCTGGAGAATTCCATGGACAGAGGAGCCTGGCAGGCTACAGTCCATGGGGTCGCAGAGAGTCGGACGCGAATGTAGGTCACTGCTATCATCAAGGGCCAGATCAATGCCTCCATCAAATCAGATCCAGTGAAGACAGGGGTCAATGTAGGACTACATCCCCGGGGCCTCCGGCCACCATCACCCACCACCAGGATGACAGGCCCCTCTTCTCCCAGCAGTGCACAACCTCCAGGCTGGGCCTTGGGGACCCAGGGTCAGGCTAGAACCCTGCACTGCATTGAGGTAGGTAATTATGAGTGGTCTTTCAAAACTGCTCAGCATGGGTCCCATGAAGGAGGTGGCCTGTTAAAAGGGTCTCCTCCACAGCTCATTACAGCCACGGTATCGATTCTTCCATCATTATCAGAAGGCATCCCTGCCATGTGAAATCCTGTCCCTTGAAGTGTATTCACCAGGGACAGCTCTCCCCATTTCCAGGAGCGCTCGTGGCCGCTAACAACCTTCCACGGGCCTTTTGAAAGCCCAAAGTTTTCAGAGAAGTGAAATGTATAGCTCCTGCTCCATTCATCCTTCAAGAAAGAGCAACCTTACACACACACAGACACACACATGCGTGCACACACAAAACCCTAAAAAGCGCAAAGAAACAAACCAGGATTGTGCTCAATGCAGACCACCACATCAAACGGTGCTTCTGAAACCCGGCCACTTCCAAGACAACTAAACTTTCTGAGTCCTTTTCTTGAGCAGCCTTGGTGATGTGGGTCAGTTTGTTTTGTCTGTTGTCTTCTCCTCTTAATGATAAAGGGGGTGAAATCGGGGACTCAAAAAGAGAGGGCTTGGATTCCAGAAAAATCCACAGCTCACTTTCCACCCTCCAGCTGCCCCAGTTCAGAGCCTGGAAAGTGTGAATTCCACCTTGAATGCTCCTGCTTGTTCAGCTTTTTAACTCCTCACATCTTCCCTGAGTCCCCAGTCACCCTCATATTTGGCAAAACCCTCTTGCTTGTTAGTAACACCCCGCTGCCCGCCGCGGCCCCGATCTCTCGGGCTCGGTTTCAGTCTCTTTCTGTCGCTTCTCTCCCGCAGGTCTCCACCCCTGCCCTCTCCGGGTGGCTCTCTGTGCTGGGTCGCCCTCGCTTCCCCCCACACTGCCTTCCCTCGCTGTCTCTCTGCCCCTCTCTGTCAGGCCTCTTACACCTCTGCCCCCGAGACCTCCCTCCATCCCTCGTCTGTGGTCCAGTCGGATCTCACCGGTTTCTCTGTCCCCAAGCCCCGAGGATCTTTGCGTAGCTCCCCACATGCCCACCTGGCCCCTCCTCCTAACAGGTGGTTTCCCTCTATTTCAGTTTTAACGGACACCGCCCCTCACGAGCGCCCCCCTTTCACCTGCCTTCTCCCCACTCGATCCCCAGGCCTGTGGACCCTGGAGTACCAGCGCGAGCTCACCACGCCCCTGTGCATCGCCGCGGCCCAGGGCCACACAGCCTGCGTGCGCCACCTGCTCGGCCGCGGCGCCGACCCCGACGCCAGCCCCGGCGGCCGCGGCGCCCTGCACGAGGCCTGCCTGGGGGGCCACACGGCCTGCGCCCGGCTGCTGCTGCAGCACCGCGCCGACCCCGACCTGCTCAGCGCCGAGGGCCTGGCGCCCCTACACCTCTGCCGCACGGCCGCCTCGCTCGGGTAAGGACCCGGGGCCCGGCCCTCCGCCCCGGCCCCGACCCCGACCCCGACCCCGACCCCTACCCCTGACCCCGACCTTCGACCCCGCCCCTGGACTCCCTGCCTTGCGCGGCGTCGGTTAGCGCCCCAGGCTCCGCCCCTGCAGGCCCCGCCCAGGCCGTGGCCACGCCCCCAGACTCGGGCCCCGCCCACCGACCCCGACCTAGCCCCGGACGCGCTCCAGGCCCCGCGCCGTATGCCCCGCCCCCAGAGCCCGAAGCCCGCGGCCAGCACCACTGTCCCCGCCGTCCATCGCAGCCCCGCGGCGGCCACCAGGCCCGCTCCGCCCGCGCCCCCCGCCCGGCCTCGGGCACCAGCCCGGCCCGCGCCGGTTTAATTAGTGCTTGATTGCGAGCGCGGGGGGGGCGGCGCCACACGGAGGTAATGAGCCGGTGATCACCGGCCCGCAGACGCCCGCGCTGGAGAATGCTAAAAGGCCACTGGCGGGGTTGGAGGCTGAAAAATTAGGGTTTTTAATGATAATTTTATGCAGAATAATTGTCACAGTGTGACATAAATGGTTAGCTCCTCGGGCGGGGCTTTGGAGCCCCACAAGCCAGTGGAGCTGTGCCCGCATATTCTAGCACCACCCCCACCCCCACCCCAGGCCCAGGTGCCGGGGTTCTAGAAGTTCTGCCGGTTCCAGGTCCAGCCCCGCGGCTGTCCTTGCGGAGGTCTGTCCACTTTGGGTCCAGTAAGTCCCGGGAGAGGCGGCAGGTCCCCGTGTTATAGCACGGGCCTTCTCTTGCCGGGTTCCCAGCTTGCCTTGTGTCCATCTTGACGTTCTAGTCCCTTTTCTCGGGTTTAAGTGTTCGTGGCCTTCTGTCTCTATGGTGAGGATTAAATAAAAGCATCATGTTAAGTGCAGGCAGGCAGGACTGCTGGGCTCTCAAGGATCAAGGAGGGCACCACCTACCAATGTCACCCGTGTTCAGAGCAAGGACTCAGGAAGCCAACGTGGACCACCAGCAGGCTTGAAAGTGACTGAAGGAAGGTGACTGAAAACAATATGATATCTAAAAGCAGCATTACTGAGCTGTAATTGCATGTAGTAAGGTGCACATGCTTAAAGTATGCAATCTGATCAGTCTGGACACAGGAATGCAGGTGAAACCATCCCTATAACCGAGATCGCAAACCCAACCATCACCAGCAAAATGTTCCCTTGTCCCACCGGAACCTCTCCCCCACTTCTCCAATTTCCCACTGACTGTTCTTTTGTCACTGTGGTTTAGTCCAAATTTGCAAGAATTCTGTGTAAATGGAATGTAGTCTCTTTTGTCTGACATCTTTCATGCAAAAATATTACTTTCAGATTTTTTTTCTTGAATCACTTTTTATTTTTATTTTATATTGGAGCATAGTTTGATTAGCAATGTTGTCTTAGTCTTAGGTGTTCAGTGAAGTGATTCAGTTATACAAGTCTCTTTCTGTGGTTCAGTCACTAAGTTGTGTCTGACTCTTTGGGACCCCACGAGTATGTAGATACATGTATCTATTATTTTTCAAATTCTTTTCGCATTTAGGTTATTACAGAATAATAATGTAATTAGGTTATTATTACAGAATAACCTAAATGGGTTATTTAGGTTAGAGCAGAGTTCCCTGTACGATACACTAGGTCCTTGTTGGTTATCTGTTATAAATATAACTGTGTACATGTCAATCCCCCTGCTTTTGAGATTGATCATACTGTTTTGTGTATCCATAATTCACTCCTTTTCATTCGTGAATGGTATTCCTTGGTACAGAATAATGCAATGTGTCTATCCACTCACATGTTAAAAGACACTTGATCATTTCTGACTTGAGGCTATTGCAAGTAAGGCTGCTGTGAACATTCATGTACCAGGCTTTGTCTGAGTATATGCTTTCATTTCTCCTGGACAAATACCTAGGCATAGCGGTGTCACATGATATGATTAGGAAATGACCAAGCTGTGTTCCAAGTTGGAACTACCATTTTACATTCCCACCAGTTACATATGATTGTTCCTGCTGCTTCCCATCCTCAGTAACACTTGGTACAGTCACTCTTTAGCTGTTAGACGTTCTATAGGGATTTAGAACTATTCCACTGCAGTTTTGATTTGCATCTCCCTAATAACAAGTGATGTTGGGCATCTTCTCATGTACTTATTTAGCATACATTTATTTTCTTTGGTGAGGTGCTTGTTCAAATCTTGTGCCTTTTTAAAATACTGGGTTGTTTGTTTTTTTCTTAAATTTTGAGATTTCTTTATGTATTCTGGGTAAAAGCCCCTTATCAGGTATGTGGTTAATAAATATTATCTTCCAGTCTCTGGGTTGTAGTTTCTTTCCTTAAAAGTGTCCTTTGGAGAACAGAAGTTCTTACTTTTGGTGGAATCTAACTGATGGCTCAGATAGTGAAGAATCTGCCTGCAATGCAAGAGACCCAGGTTCGAGCCCTGGATTGGGAAGATCCCCTGGAAAAGGGAATGGCAACGAGTATTCCAGAATACTGGAATACAAGTATTCCAGGAATACAAGAATACAGTATTCCAGTATTCTTGCCTGGAGAATCCCAAGGACGGAGGAGCCTGGGGATTACAGTTACAGTGCATGGAATTGCAAAGAGTCGGATACAGCTGAGCACTTAACCCTCACAACAGATCCATTTTTTAATTTTAGGGATCATGTTGGGTTATTTTCTCTAAAGAAAAACAACTTTGCCCGACCATGGCCACAAACGTTCCCTCCTATGTTCCCCTCTAAAATTTTAATGACTTATATGTTCCATTTAAGTCTATGGCCCATTTTGAGTTAATGTCTGAATATGGTGTGAGGTAGGAATTAAGGCTTTCTTTTTTTTCTCTGCGTGTAGTTATGCAGTAGTTCCAGCACTGTTTGTCAAGGAGCCTTTTCTTTCTCCACGGGTTTGCCTTTGCACTTTAGTTGAAAGTCAACTCAAGGACATATGTATGAAAACAAAACAAAACAAAAAGGACACATGTATGGGTTTATTTCTGGCTCTCTTGTCAAGTACACCCAAGACAGGGCAAGGCCTGACTGACTGACTAAAGACCCAAGGAGCCACTCCTAGATGCAGACACTTTTAACACTTACTGGCACAGTGAGAAGAAAAACAGCCACAGGTTCCAGTTCTGCATGGTCCTTGCCCTCCACACCCAAACAAAAGGAGACACATTACGCAGCGTGACTTGCAGGACGCCCTGCTATAGCACACCCGAATCTGGATGTCAGGTGAGCAGCCTTATAGGCCACAGCTCTGATCTGAGGCGGGCAGGCCGGGAGTCCCAACCCTCACCAGAACCCAGGAGGTGACAAGAAACATCGCAGGACAGCCTCCCAGGGGACACAGGGAGGCGAGTGGACAAGGGTCTTGTAGCAGCCCCTTAACAAGTTCTGGAGGATCGCAGGGTGCTCTGCCAAGACTTGGACCAGCAGTGGTTCAGACTTTTGTTTGTGTGGCCAGTGTGGCTACGTGCAAGGCCACCAGGGCTCCACTGCAGAGCTGTTGCTCTGTGTCTCTGTTCTGTTCTACCTCGCTCCATTGCTCTTTTCTGACAGCAGTACCACCTTGTACTGAACGCTGTAGCTCTGTAAGAAATTTCAAAGTCAGGTCGAATAAATTCTCCAGCATCATTCAAAGTTGTTTTGGCTATTCTAGCCTCTTCACATTTGCACGTAAACTTTAAAATGAGTTTGCCAGTTTCTACCAAAAAAAAAAAAAACCCCACTGTGTTTTGACCGAGGTTGATGTGACTCTATAGATCAATCTGGGGAGACTTGACATAAAAATATTGCATCTTTCAACCCATGAACACAATAAATCTCTCCATTTATTTAGCTCCTAGTTTCTTTTAGCTTCATTTGATAGTTTTTAGTGTACGACACTTGGATATATTTTTCAAATTTATCCCTAAGTTTTTAATTTCTGGTGCTTTTGTAAGTAGTATTTTTATTTAAATTTCTGTGGTGTTAGCTACTATATAAATTGATAAGAATTTGTTTTTGTGTATTAATTTGAAACCTGCAAACTTGCTTAGTATTTGTTCTAGTAACCTCTCATAAATTCCAAAAGATTTCTATGTAGACAATCATGTCATCTTCAGATAAACACAGTTTCACTTCTTTTCCAGTCTGAATGCCTTGTTCTTGCTTTATTGCACTAGATAGAACTTCCAGTGCTATGTTGAATAGAAGTAGTAAGGGAAGACAACTTTCCTTATTACTGTTCTTGGTGGACTGAAAGCTTTAACTATTAAGTATGATATTAGATGTAGGTATTTTGTAGATGATCTTCAGATTGAGAGAATGCCCTTCTATCCCTGGTTTGCTGACAGTTTTTTCTATGAATGGATGTTGGATTTTCTCAGATGCTTTTTCTGCATATATTGAGTTGTTGCTGGAGCTTCCCAGGCGGCACTAGTGGTAAAGAACCTGCCTGCCAACGCAGGATACATAAGAAACACGGGTTTAATCCCAGGGTTGGAAAGATTCCCTGAAGAAGGAAATGGCGGCCCACTCCAGTATTTTTGCTGGGAAATCCCATGGACAGAGGAAATCCCAAGGACATAGGAGTTGACCCTATGTGTGTATTTTTAGTCTGTTAATATAATTATTTACACTGGTTGATTTTCAGATGTTAAGCCAATCTCACATTTTTCAGACCACAATTTATAAATTCCTGGGTTTGATTTGCTGAAAATTTTAAAACATCTGCATCTATATTTGTTAAAGGTATTGATCTGCAGTTTTTTCTTGTAATGTTTTTGTCTGGTTTTTATATCCGATTGATGCTGGCCTCAAAAATGAGCTGAGAGGTGCTTGTGTAAAATTATTTTTATTTCTTCCTTAAGTGTTTGGTAGAAATCATCAGTGAAGCTGTCTTGGCCTGGAGTTTTCTTTTTGAGCAGGTTTGCAGTTATGAGTTCAGTTTCTTTAATGGCTATAGTGGTATTCAGGTTCTTTCTTGAGTGAGTGAGCTTTGATAGCTTGTATCTTTCAAGAGATTTATCTCTTTCATCTAAGTTGTTAAATTTGTCATAAAGTTGTTTTCTATTATCCTTTTAATAGCTGCAGAATCTGTAGAATCACCACTTTCATTCACGATAATGGACATTGTGGTTTTTATTCTTTCTTCCCTGATCAGTCTATTTTGGGTTTTACTGATTTTCTTTTTTGTTTTACTGTTTTATTTTCCATTGATTTCTGATATGATCTTCATTTCCTCTTTTCTTTGCTTATATTGAATTTCATTTGTTCCTGTCTTTCTGATTTGTAAGATGACAGCTAATGTCTTTGATTTGATGGGTTTTATTTTCTAATATGACTCTCCGGTGGCTCAGGTGATAAAGAGTCTGTCTGTGATGCAGGAGACCTGGGTTCAATCCCTGGGTGGGGAACATGCCCTGAAGAAGGAAAGGGCAACCAGCTGCAGTATTCTTGCTGAGAAATCCCATGGGCAGAGGAGTCTGATGGGCCACAGTCCATGGTATAGGCTTTCAGTATTACACATGTACCCACTATGTACCACTCTAGCTGAATCCCACGCGTTTTAATAGGTTAAAATTTCCTTCTCAATCAGTTTAAAATATTTTCTGATTTGTTTTTTCATTTGTTTCCTTTGAGCTTTTTTCTTTGAAAGATAAGTTATATAAAAGTGACTTTGTTTCCCAATATTTGGGTATTTTTCAGGTATCTTTCCATTATTTATTTCTAATGTAATTCCACTATGGTTAGAGAATTTACTTTGTTTCACTTTGCTCCTTTTAAATTTACTGAGTCTCTTTTGATGATCCAAAATATATTCTATATTGGTAAAAATTTTTGTGCATACCAGAAAAGAATGCATGTTCTACAGTTGTTGGGTGGAGTGTTCTATAAATGTCAATTAAGTCAAGTTGCCTATATCCTCCCATATACTTCCTGATTTTCTGCCTACTTGTTTTACATGTTGTTGAAAGAGGGGTGTTGAAATCTTTGACTGTAACCATGGATTTGTCTATTACTGTTTGCAGTTATATAATATTTCAAAGCTCTATTATTAGTTATCAGTACATAGATGTTTAGCATCATCATGGCCTCTTGAAGAACTGGCATCATTATTTAAAGATATTCTTTATCTCTGGTAATATTCTTTGCTCTAAAGTTCTACTTTGTCTGATATTAAAATATCTAATCTGACATTAATACATATTTCTTTTGACTAGTGTTAGCATAGTATACTCTTTTCCATCTGCAATAGTAATCTATTGCTATGTAACAAATTACCACAAACTTAGAGACTTACTACAGCACACATTTATTGTTTCACAGTTTCTATGAGCAGAGTTTGGTCATGGCTTCACTGAGCCCTCAACTGCAGAATTTCTCACAAGATTGCAATCAAGGTGTCAACAAGGGTTAGGGTCTCACTTGAAGGGTCAGCTAGGGAAGGATCTGCTACTAGATTCATATAATTATAGGCAGAATTTAGTTCTTTGGGACTATTGGACTGAGGGTCTCGATTCCTGGCTGACTATTGATTAAAGGCAGTGCTCAGTTTGTGTCTTTATTTTTCAAACAGATCTCTTGGAGTCAGGGTATACCTGAGTCTTTTTTAAGCCAATCTAGTAGTCTTTGCCTTTTAACTGAGTGTTTAGATCATTTACATTTAATAAGATTTTAATATGCTTATGATCAAATCAAACAGCCTGTTATTTTTTCTATTCATATCATCCGTTCTTTGTTCCCTTTTCTTCTTTTTCTACCTTCTTCTGAATCAACTATTTTTCATGATTCCACTTTACCTCCCTTTTTGATTTATCACATATAACTTATTGTTCCATTATTTTAGTAGTCGCTTTAGGGTTCATAGTCTACATCTTTATTTTACCACAGTCTGCCCTCAAGTGATGTTATACCACTTCATGTATAATATAAAAAACCATTTGACTATTCTTCCATTTCTCTCCTCCTGACCTTTGTGCTATTGATATCATATATTTTACTTCTGTATATAAGTCTCAGAGAACATTGTTAATATTTTGGTCAAACAGTCAATTATCTTTTATTGAAACAATAAGAAAAAGTTTGTATGTTGATCCACGTGGTTCCCATTTTCAGCTCCCTTCATTGCATCTGGGATCATCTTCCTCCTTCTCAGAAAACATTCTGTAATATTTCTTGCAGTGAGGGTCTGCTGGAGATAAATCCCATCAGTGTGTGTGTGCTTGGGAAAGCCTTTGTTTCATGTGAGAGTTTGCTAGGTGCTCTTGTTGGGCAGGGAATTCTGGGCTGACAGGTTTCTTTCTTTCAGCGTTTTAGACACGGGGCTCCACTGGCTTCTAACTTGCCTTTTTAATGGGAAATCTTCTCTCCATCTGTGTTCTTTTGTATATAGTGTCCTTTTTTCTGGCTCCAATATTTTCTCCTTATCACTGACTTTAAGCAACTTGATCATGATGTATTTTGTTGTTGTTTTCTTTATCTTTCTTGTCCTTGAGATTCATCAATTTCTAAATCTGTAGGCTTATACTTCTCATCAAATTTGGAAAATTGATGGCAATTATCTCTTCACATTTTTTTCCCGTATGATCACTCCTCTGCCTCAGGGAGTCCAGTTGCATGTATGTTATATATACCACTTGAAGTTGTCCCACAGTTCATTAATACTCTGTTCATTTTTCTCTTATGTAATTGATTTATCACTTGTTCCGAAGTCCCTGATCTGCCATTAATGCCATGTAGTATATTTTCATCTCAGACACTATAATTTTCAACTTTAGAAGCTCAATCTTAGGCCTTTTAAAAATATCTTTCTTGTCTTTACTTAACATGTTTAGTCTTTCCTCTAGCTTCTCAAATATACAGAATATAATTAAAATAACTATTTTAATGTTCCCATCTATCAATTCTATCATCTGGGTATGAATAACATTTTAACTTTGTTCCTTTTGTAAATTTCAGATTCACCTAGGCATAATATGTGGGAGATAAGATATACACATATAAGATTCAAGAGTAGAAATGCTTATGAATACATTTTTTGATTATTTTTTAAAAGCTATAAGTAGACAGCCATTCTGCAGGGATACTAAATGAAGATTAACTTCTGCATCATTTTAACTTACAATTTCTATCCTTGAGACATTTGGTAGGTGATTTGCTTGTGTACAAAGTTGCCGTCTGATGACAGAATTATAGAAACCCCATCTACTTTCAAAAAGCACAGCTCCCAGGTTTCATTATTGGAGGAACCATTCCTACAAGCATTCAATAGCCACCTGTTGAACTCTATGAGGTGCTGGACTTGTGTTGCGCTATAGTCTATTTCCTCAAGATGCTTTCAATTTCAACGGAGAGGAAGGTAATTTACATCAGTGTGCTAGACACTGGACCAAGGGTATGCAGAATACACTATGTGCATGGAAGTTGAGGGTGTGGGCTGGTAGATTTCAACTGGAAATTTTCTAGGAGACAAAGGGGCATCAATTTTATTAAAGGACATAAACCAACCAAATCAAAGCAAAAGAAAATGGGCGAATTATTAGGCAGTTTTACATTGATTTTATTCAGTTTTGATATTTTTATACCTTACAATTTCATATGTTAGAAGTACATATATTGCTACATTTGAGGTCTAGGTTGAACTCTAGCTGTGCAAGCTTGGGCAAGTTATTTCATTTCTCTGTGTCTTGGTATTCTCATCTGTAAAACAGAGATAATATTTGAGCCTTCTACATAGGGTGACTAGGGGAATTAAACCAGCTAGTGTATGGAAAATGCCTAGAAGAGTGCCTGGCACATAATTAAGAATTATGCAGGTGCTGACTACAACTGCTGAGGTCTCTTGTACAACTACTGTGCTATCTCATGGGAATTGAAACAATATTTCACTAACTTTAATTAATATGGGGTTTTGTGGTTTCTTTATCTCCATATTTGTTGGTCATCTATGATTTATTTCCAGTAATATTCCTAGTCAAGAGCATACTCCCAATTTTAACATGTTCCTACGGAAAATATAACCCATCTGATGGTATTCCATGTCTAGGAACACACCATGCCTCCCACCCCCCTCAAAAGTCATGTCTATATTCAGTTTTGTTCAAAATTAAGTTCTATAAATGCAGCATGGTATCCTGGATTGGATCCTGGAGCAGAACATGAACATTAGTTGGGAAAGTGGTGAAATCCAGATAAAGTCCACAGTTCCATTAATAGTATTGGATTGATGTTAATTTCTTAATTTTGACAAAGGCACCGTGATAATATATGATGTGAACTTTACAGGAAACTGGATAAAGGACATTTGCAAATTCTCTGTACTACCTTTTCAATTCTTCTGTAAATCTATAGTAATGTTTAAATAGAATTTTAAAAACCAAGTATGCTTCATCCCTTGGACTCAAATCTTCCACCTTATAGTCTTAGAAAAAAATGTGGCTTTTTACTAAGAAATAAGAATGTATCGCCTACTCAGAACACAAAGTATAGCCAACCCTAACGGCAGCCCTTAAGACAAGCCAACAGGCTTACATTCAGTTGGCATAAGGCGCTGAGGCATATGCGGAGCTACTCGGCTTACACAGTGTGATAGGAACTAATTTCCTGACTTCAGTCGGTTTCTCAGAAATCATTCAAATCCAGCACATTGCTTAATAAAGACTTTTAAAATGTCTTTGTATTAAGATGAGGCTTTGTAAGGACCTCTTTTCTTTTGTCTTTCTCTTCCTCTTTCTTCTTTTTCTTCTCGTTTTCTCTTCTGTCTCCATGTGTCTTTCTCCCTGGTGATTTCATTTGACAGTCTTGACTTATTTAAATCCAAGTTATTGAGGAAAAGTTTAAGATAAGTGATGAACATAGCATAAGTTCAGGCAGAACTATGCAACAGCTGACTCAGAATCCCTTCAATATCAATGATTTGATGGAAGATCCTGGCAGGTCCCACTGAACACCTCTACAATAATATAGCCAACTCCCTTGAAGGATGAAAGTTAACAGATGTCAGAGAGGGACTGAGCTTTAGACTGCGGCTTTTCAGCTCTGAAGAGTCCCCCTAAAGTTAGACTCCGAGGAGGTCTGGCTTCGGGTAGTATAAACATTATCACTTTGACAGGAAAGAGCGACTTTTTCCAGAATCTTTTTATACATAGTAGATTTTAGGTCATCCTTAATTTTTTTACCTTTCAGTAGAGAGGGGGTCGTTGACCTACATACAGAGCCATTTCATTTTCTTACTCTTGATGACAATGGTCTCCACACCTAGGGACCCAGTTCTGTTCCAACCCCTTTTAGTCAGCAATTCTCCATGGGTGCAGGACTTTAAAACCTTTGAGTCTCTGAGTTCCTGGGATTAAAAAAAAAAAAAAATCATCTGTGCTTCCTTCCAACCTGCAAGCTTCAGAATTCAGAATTCAACACACATAAAGGAATATCAGAGCTTTAATCTAGGAACCTTTTGAAGAGATTTTCCCAAAAAGAAAAGTTCCAGTAAAGTTACTCTCTTCACGTTAGTAGCCTGCATGCCAGCCTCGCCCTATTTATTACTAGATTCCACTCCTTGACCCTTCTTAAAATTCTGAGATAATTAAAATGAGAGAAGAATTAGCACAGTCCTGATTCTTTATCTCATCTAGAGCTGTCTCGATTTATGCAAAAGTGAGGCAAATTCGCTTCCTTCATGAGCGTGTCAGTCAAAAAGCATGCACGTTTACCTCTCCGTCCCAGCTGTGTTAATTCAACTAAATAAAAGTTCATTTTAAGCCAGAATTGGACTTGTGGAAGCAGCTAATTATCTTAGGAGGAAAAGATTATTGAAGAAAACTACTGGGCAATTTTTTTCTAACTCAAACTTGGCAGGATCAAATCTGGGCAGAGAAAAATGAAGTACGCCTTTCCCTGAGGCAAGAAAGGCACTTTTTGGGCAGGATTTGAGCAGGAACAATTATTCTGAGTCCTCACCCCAACCCCAAAGCTTCTGCCTAGTAACAAGAGGTTTCGTTGCATGAGCACCAGCTCATGGGCACTGATGCACAATCCAGGAAACAGTCCGCTTTCTACAACGCAGATGAGTGATTGATTATTATTCACGTGGAGAGGAGAAAACATGATCCAGTTCCACAGGACTGTGAGGCATCTTGAGGAATACCAAAGAACAAGGTGTCAGTGAGGGGCTGCCCCCACTGGATAACTGGATATTTGTACAGAAACTTCCCATTCTGAGCACATGCAAGTGTCTGACTTCCTATGATCCTCCCCACAGGCTTGCAAGGCATGGTTATTCCCAGTTCACAAGTTAGAAAGCTGAGGCTCACCAAGAGCCTATGTTTTATCAGTAAAATGGAAAAACACGGGCTCTTGGTAAAAGACTACCAAGTAGAAACCATCAGAACCAGGTTCAAAAGCCAATGTTGGCTCTTCCCTGGTGATCTAGTGGCTAAGACTCCCCATTCACAATGCAGAGGGGCCCAGGTTTGATCCCTGGTCAGGGAACTAGACCCCACATGCCACAACTAAGGGTTCACATGCAGCAACTAAATATCCTATGTGCTGCAACTAAGACCCAGCACAGTCAGACAAATAAATATTTTTTTTAAAAAACTGAGTTAAAAAAAGAAAGCCAATGTCATAAGAGAGATAGATGTTGAAAGATAACTTCTCCCTTGTTAACCTAATTTTTTTTTTCCAAAAACTGCTAATTGTCAGAAAGTAGCTCTGCTCATCTCTAATCACGACCTTTCAAACATGTTCTGTCATAGGTTTATCCTCTTTCCTTGCCACTTATAGAATCTCAGGCAGATTCCTCACCTTTCTGGTTGCTTGCCAAGTTCTGTTTGAATACATACAACTCACTCTTAGGAATTAATACAGGTAATCCAGGCCAGATCCAATCTTTACCTTCTGGGCAAAATCCTTGATCAGACACCTCAAGAAAGATATACAGATGACCAATAAACAAATGAAAGGTCCTCAACATCATTAGTCATCAGAGAAAAGCAAATTAAAGCCATGAGGAAATATTCTTTATGTCACACTCTTTAGGATGGCTAAGGCAAACAGACAGACAATACCAAGTGTTTGCAGGAATGTGGAGCAACTGGAACTCTCATACATTGTTGTTGGGAGTATATAATGATGTAACCACCTTGGAAAACTGCTTAACCATTTCTTTTAAAGTTAAATATATACCTACCAGCAATTCTACTTCTAAAGATTTATCCAAAAGAAATAAGAACATATGCCCATGTGAAAACTTACATTAAAATGTTCATATCAGCTTTATTCATAATAGCCAAAAAGTGAAAATGCCCATCAGTATCAAAAGGAGGATGAATTCTTAAACTGTGGTATAGCTATGCAATTACATGTGACTGAGAAATAAAATAGAATGAGTTACTTGTGAACGCAACAATATGGATGTCAAAGACATGTTACATTAAAGAAGCCAGATACAAAAAAGTAGAAAATTCTAGAAAAGACAAAACATGGGGAGAAATCAGAATCATGGTTGCCCATGGTGGCTGACCAGCAGCAAACACAAAGGAACTTTTTGGAGAGATGAAAATATGCTACATCTTGGACATCCCCCATGGTCCAGGGGTTAAGATTCAGCCTTCCAGTGCAGGGGATGCGGGTTCAGTCCCTAGTCAGAGAACTAAGATCCCACCTGCTGTGTGGTATGGCCAAAAAAAATTTTTTAAATATGCTATGCCTTTATGTCAATATGCATGTCATAGCACACGTCAATATGCATATGTCACAGCATATGTCAATGTGCTATGTTGATTACATACATCCTTTGCCAAAATTTGTACAGCTGTACTCTTCAGACATGTGCATTTCTCTGTATGCAAATTTTACTTCACTTAAAAAATATATAAAAACACGTATATAAAACTTTTCTCTCATACAAGAGACACAGATGTAAAGAACAGAGTTTTGGACTCTGTGGGAAAAGGCGAGGGTGGGGTGATTTGGGAGAATAGCACTGAAACATGTATACTACCATATGTGAAACAAATCGCCAGCCCAGGTTCGATGCCTGAGACCGTGTGCTCAGGGCTGGTGCACTGGGATGACCCTGAGGGGTGGGATGGGGAGGGAGGTGGGAGGGGGGGTCGAGATGGGGAGCACATGTCCACCCACGGCTGATCATGTCAATGTATGGCAAAAACCACCACAATATCATAAAGGAATCAGCCTCCAATTAAAATAAATCAGAAAAAAAAACCTTTCTCTCACACAAATCAAAGCTCCCCCACCTCACCCCTATCTTTCTGGTGACTGTTCAGTACCATCTTTTTGGTGACTGTTAGTCATTCTCTTCTCCAGAGGGAGCTGGGGTTCGCGTCACTACCTAAAACGAGAGTTGCTGTTGTCCAGTCACTAAGCCGTGTCTGATTCTTTGTGATCCCATGGACTGTAGCATTCCAGCCTTCCCTGTCCTTCACTATCTCCCAGAGTGTGTTCAAACTCATGTCCACTGAGTCAGTGATGCCATCCAACCATCTCATCCTCGGCCGCCCCCTTCTCCTTTGGCCTTCAATCTTTCCCAGCATCAGTGTCTTTTCCAATGAGTCAGCTCATTGGAGAATACTCTTGAGAGCCCCTTGGACTGCAAGGAGATCAAACCAGTCCATCCTAAAGGAAACCAACCCTGAATATTCACTGGAAGGACTGATGCTGAAGCTGACGCTCCAATGCTTTGGCCACCTGATGCAAGAAGAGAGCAGAGTCTTTCATTTCACTCCTCTCCTCCTTCTCCTCCCCTCACGCTGATGCCTCTGGGTTTCCCCCTTCATCCAGTGCTGGGGCCAGGGCAGGAGAGGAAGGTTGCCCATTTCTTGTTGAGGAGGGGATACTAGTGAAGCTTCCAGAAAGTCAGATACTTCTTCAATGGAAAGCAGGGCAAACAGTGGAACTGAATTCTCAAAGTTTGTTCCTTCAGTCATTCCTCAGTCCACCAAAACGCAGAATTTCACTTGCAGTTTGCGGGGGCGGGGGGGGGGGGGTGTGACACAGGGAATTTGCCTAAAATATCATTAGCAGCCACAACCATTGAACACTTCAGAAGCAAATTAAATGGCAGCCATTGCTTCAAGGGAAACCATAAGGATAGACATGGCCGGGCAGTTTCCCTCTCCATCTCCCTGCTACCCTTCAGGATTTGTCTGTTCGTATCAGCTATTTCAATTGTGAATAGCTATGCTTGATAGTCTCACAGCTGAGCATCCTGGAAGAAAGGGAGGAAGAAGAAAATACAGAGCAGAAAGGGGCGGGCAGCAGGTCCCCAGAGGAGAGGCTCAGTAGAAGGTCCAGAGAAACCAAGTGAGAGCTGCTCCTCCATCAAAGTCAGGGCAGTGGCTTCCCCATCCTTCAGCTGGAACCAGCCGGGGAGTCAACACACAGAGGCAGTCTCCCTGCGATGGCTTCACTGGAAAGCATGGCTGTGTTGTCCCCCAAGTCTCCCCCCCAATGTCCCCTGTGCACCAAACCCCCGCCCTGCAGTCCTGCCTTGCTCAGCATCCAGCCACACTGCTGCCCCCACGGACGGACCCAGACTTGGCCCCAGCCACCCTGCCCCAGGGACGTGTCTCCAGCCCATCTGCCTCCATGTCAACTCCAAGGAGGAACAGTAGCTTAATGATGATTCGACATGACTGGTTCATGACACCCATTACTCTCAGCGAACACACTGGCCAGGAGGGGTTTGGGCAGCGAGTACAGGAGGACAGTGAAGGGCAGCTAGGAGGGTCCAAGGATTTCCAGCAAGTGAAGCTATTGCTCCGGAGACAGATGCTGAACCCACCTGACAGAGGGCTTGAAAGGAAGGTCTGTTTCCCCTCCAAAAACATGTAACTGACCTTTGTGAATTTCACCCTGGTTTTGGTAGTTCTTTGTCCTTGTTGTTGCGTTGCTCTTTGGGTACCATCACCCTCTGACGACTGTTGAGTCATTCTCTTCCCCAGCAGTAGCTGGGTTCACATCTCAATCAGGAGGTTCTGACTTGACTGTGGGGTCACCGTTCTCTCCTGGGTGTCTACCCCTGACATCACTGCTTCAAGCCTCAAAAACCACATCCTCACTGAAAAGCAGAGAGACTGAAATCTCCGATGCAGACTTGCCCAGAGGACTGATGAGAAGCAGCATGAGGCCCACCGGCCAGGCGATGTCCTCAGCCTTCTGTGCCTTCGTGTTCTGTCTGAAGGTGTGTCCAGGAGCCCCGTGGGGTGCTCAGAGAGGAGACCCTTCCCCCTGCCTTGACCTGGTGTACAGAGCATGGAGGAGGCTCTCGACTTACTGAATGAACCAACGAATGAAAGGTTTAGAGAGAGCTTCTGGGAAACGCCGAGTGCCTTGCCTGACTCACAGAAGGTGCTCAGCAAACAATACCCAAGGGGGGAGCAGCAGGGCGGGATGACAGAGAACTAAGCCAGACAGCAGCCAGAGCCTCTGCTCTGCCACCACCCGGCTGGATGGCCCTGAGTCACTGGTCTTCTTCTGAGCCTCAGTTTCCCCGCCTACAAATTCCACCTACAGTGCAGACCTGTCGCAAAGCCTAAAGATAACATTCTCCTAAAAATAAATTAAAAGACCACATGCTGGGGAAGGCACTGACATCCCAGCTCAGAACCAGAGGCTATGAAATACTACTTTTGAGGGTTTTGTGCCACGGGAGGGGTGGGGAGGAGGGAAGCTGGAGAAGGAAAGCCCGGAGCAGGCTGTCTCGTGGGGTGCAGGGCAGTTTGGCAGGTGGCGTCAGCGGGTAGGAAGAGGCGAGCGCTGAGGAAGCCGGGCTGAGGCGCTCGGCACCATTTGCATCTGCCTGGTGAGCGGGGAAGCAGTGCTGTGGAAAGATGCTGGAGGTGGCTGGGTGCTGTGTGCCAGATGAGGGCTGGGAGTCCTACTTCTCTCCTTACAAATAAGTCAAAATGACATTAATTCAGCCGCCCTTGATGGGTTCATCTCTATTAACTCCAGCCTTTTGGCTCAAGCCACTTTTTCTGTGTACTGTCAACCTTGGGCCCCGTAACAGCTTGTCACCATGATCATTATCAAAGATGGGGAGGAGGGCTGGGGGGGGCTGGGGGAGTGTTTGCCCAAGTTGCTTCGTATCAGAGGCTGTTCAGACAACAGTGTCTCCTTCGTCTCATAAGACAGGGACAAGTCGTTTTGACACGGTCAGATGAGAATGTACCCTTGGCTCCTGACAGTGACGGTCTCACGCTGTCTGCCACCAGGGAAACCCATACTGACTCCAGGCCTTCCGTATTGTGTCTCCCAGGACAGCAGGACATCTGCTCAAGAAAACCTTGCTTGGCAGAATAGAGCTCAGCCAAAGTAGGGCTTCCCACACAGCCCTACAGAGGCTCGGGAGACGCTTTCCTGCTGGGCCATTTCTTCCTTGACTGGAGACCCTGACAAATACGACGTCAGGTCTTTCAGGTCCCCGAGACTGTTACACTGCTCTGCTTGCCACTAAGGACCCTCCACCCGCCCCCCACGCTCTCCTCTCCTCTCACCTTCTCAGAGCTGCTGCCCTACAGCCTTCCCAAGATCTCTGCTTACACCTGGACAGATCAATGGAAAATCTGAGAGCATTCTGGAAACCTGGAACGCTGAGCTGACATTCTTAGAATCCACGAGCTGCTGCTGTGGCTGGCGGGGGATGGTTCTGTTATTAATAACCTCTGCTGTTGTTCTGCTGTCAGACTGCAGTTCTAATTCACTTTGGAAAGTGAATTTGAAAATACTGGCAAGCAAGAAGGAAATAAAAGCACCCTTCACCCCACCATCCAAAGGTGAACACGTTGGCTTGTGTATTTCCAGACTCTCTTCCGATGCATGTACATATCTACTCTTTTTTTTAATAGGAGTGTTCGATGCTGTTTCAAACCCGGTCTTTACACATGACCACTGCAGACAACTTTCCATGTCATTAAACAGGCTCCCACGCCTTCATTTTTAATGACTGCCCAGTGCGTGCCAGCCGAGATGTGCCCCAGTCAATTCGTTGTGTTGTTTTCTCTCGTGCCTGTGGTCTGCAACTTACATCATGACCTGCTCTAAGGAAGTGCCAAGGTTTAGCCAATTAGAAGCTCTTCATTAAAAATGAAAAGGGTATCCTCGGTCCTCCAGAGGCTGGGCCAGTGTCCTCATTCTTCTGAAAGCTATCTTTGTTGCAAACAGCAACCTGGCCATCAGCCTGTTAGGCTGCGGATGTGGAAAAGAGACCCACTCGTATTTCCCGGTGGACTTCTTCAGAGAGGCTGGGCTGCTTTAAAAAAAAAAAAGAGAGAGAGAGAGCAGGAGAAAATGTTTGGTAATTGTTTGTGAGCGCACACAGGCTCAGTGGCAAAATGAGACGGAACCTTTGATTTCTAACCTCCTGCTGCACTGTTCAAAATTCCTCCCAGAGAGGCGCGGAGGAAGCAAACTGAAGCACTCTGATTGTCAAATTTGCATCCTCTCTTAGCTGCTTATTGTCCCAAAGGACGTTTCACATCAAATCGTACTTGTTTGTAAAGATCTTTCACCCAAGACAGACCACTTCTCAAGATACTGCTGATATGGAGGATAGAGAAATATGGAGAGACGGTTTAAAATATTGCAGGTCCCTGGGTAGAAATGTAAACAGATTTAATGCCACTGGCTTCCAGCCTGGAAACCCTCAAAGGATCCGGTGCAGGGTCCCAGTCAGGTAAATACCAGGAAAAACAGCAGCCACGCAAAGGAAAACTGAAAGATGCTCATTAAGGAAATGCATTTGTTCAACATGCTTTTAGGGAATACCAGTAGTGGGCCAGCCCTGCCCTAGGTGCCAAGAAGCCGAAGTAAATACACGTCCATTTCTATACCCAAGGAGCCAACCATCTAAGAGAGACATGCCAGAGAACACTTGAAACACTGGTGTGACAAAGGCTGTACCCGTGGACGGCAACTTAGGTATGAGGAACATGACAACACAGAGGTGTGACCGAGAGTAAGAGGAAGGAAAGACAGGATGCATCCTAAGAACCACACCTGGTCAGGTAGGATCCAAGCACAGGATGAAGCATCGGGAAATGAAACTGGTGAGGCCACAGAAGCCGATTCACGAGCTGTCCTGTGTCCCAGAGGAGGAAGCCTGGGATTTCTTCAGCAAGCAGGAAGATCCTCTGGGTTTTCAGCCAGCTCATGTCTTATGATTCACACTGGAAAGGCTTTTTCTGGGTAGCATGGAGCTTGTTAAGATTGGTACAGGAGAGAAATCAGCAGATTGTCCACTTTGGGCAAGAAAGGATTTGGGGCTTCCACAAAGGACCGTGACAACAGGGCTGGAGGGAGGAAGCAGTTCAAGTGATGACTGAAGAGATGGAATCGACATGGCTGAGTGACCAACTGAAAAAGGTGGAGATGGACCTCAAGGAACTGGGAAAAAACAAAGGGTGAGTAACGTACAGAGCGAGACCCCGAAGGAAGCAGGAAAGGGTTACACCGGGCCACAGGATGGAGAGGGAGTCCCTTCCTTAGACACATGGAAGTAGTGGAGGACGGTCACGGAGAAAGGCTCTGCCAGGTGTCAAGGCCGCCTCAGCGGCACACAGCAGGAAGGTTGGCTGATGCTGGGAGAATTGCACTCGCTGAGTAAGTAGATGTAGACTGCTGAGAAGGCCGGGAGTAGAAACAAGACCTCTTAGGACTTCCCTGAGGGTGCAGTGACTAGGACTTCACGCTCCCCATGCAGGGGCCCCGGTTCGATCCCTAGTCAGGCAACTAGATTCCATATGCTGCAACTAAGAGTTCACATGCCCACAACTAACGATCCTGCATGCCACGGTGAAGACTGAAGATCCCTCGTGTCACAGCTAAGACCTGGCGCAACTTAAATCATCTTTTTTTAATAAAGAAATAGGGTTTCTTGGGGATGGTGATCAACATGTGGAACAATCACAAATGGGCAAGGAATGAGGAGCCGGCCTTCAGTCCCAGGAATTGTGGACCAAAGGGCACTGAGGACCAGTGAAGCGCAGAGGCCAATCTCCATGATGGGGGTTTCCTCCAGGGGCCAAGTGGGGAAGAGAGGGTGGGTGGTGAATCGTGGCCAGCTGATGCAGGGGATGGCCACGTCCCCTTCACCCAAAGGAACCGAGGATGCCGAGAAGAGAGAAAGAGAGCTGCCCAGGGAAGGAATGAAGCCAGGAAGGGCTGAGAGGGCCAGGAGCCAATGGGCCAAGTCTCAACAGAGCAGAGATGAGGAGGGCGCCAACAGGAGGGTGGGCTACAAGGACCAGGGTCTCACCCTCTGCAGTCAGCATGTGGGCCCATCAGACCCCAAAGGTGGAGCAAACACGAGGGCAGAAACACCCCAGGAGCCAGCCCAGGACTAGGGGCTGACGTGGGGCTGCTGTCCTGTCAGTGCCCATGAACGCCAAGGGCCAGCAGATGGAAGAGGTGCTTGGAAGGGTCTGTGAGACCGTCCTGCTCTCAGGCTGGGCCAGATTCGGTTAGTTCCCCACCAGTGTGCAGGGCCTCGGTCCAGCGGGCCTGTCAGCAGCTGCCCCCTGGGCTTAGGTGGAGATGCTCCAAGTCCTCCCAGGTGTGTAAGCAGCTCTAAGGACACTGCCCTCCTGGGAGAGCACAGTCTTGGCACCAGCCTGAGGGACCTGGAGGCGGCAGGAGACACCCACCTCAGGGGGAGACTGGCCTCCCCTGGGAGCCAAGGAAGCCCTGGGAGACACCCACCTCAGGGGGAGACTGGCCTCCCCGGGAGCCGAGGAAGCCCCGGACAGCACAGTGGGACTTAGCTACCTCCAAAATCCACATTCCGATCAGGGAGACTTCAGTTGAAACAATGATGGTCCTACAGTTAGGCACAGTTGCATGTTTTGCCCACGCTTCCAGTCCTATCTGAGGACACCCCAGTGCCAGTCCACCGCCGTGTCCTGAGGGACCGATAGATGTCCTCCCTGGCAGTAGGGCAAGCCTTGCCTCACACCATCACCAAAAGCAGAGGTATATGTCGGCTGATAAACAGCCCAACAGTTTAAGGGGCCCTCCTTAAAACCGTGACTTCCAGGCCCTCAACTGCCACCTGTCACAAACAGCCCAGGTAATTTGTCTTTCCAGCATTTGAACCATATTACCTTTTCACTGGCGACTCAGACGGTAAAAGAATCTGCCTGCAATGCAGCAGACCTGGGTTGGATCCCTGGGTTGGGAAGATCCCCTGGAGCAGTGAATGACAGCCCACTCCAGTATTGTTGCCTGGAGAATCCCATGGACAGAGGAGGCTGGCAGGCTACAGTCCATGAGTCCATGAGAGAGTGGGCCATGACTAAAGCGACTTAACACGCACACATACGGTGCTACTTTGGAAGGTGTGTGCTGTGCTTAGCCGGGCAGTCATGTCCGACTCTTTGCGACCCCATAGACTAGCTCTCCAGTCTCCTCTGTCCATGGGAATTCTCCAGGCAAAAATGCTGAAGTATGTTACCATGCCCTTCTCCAGGGTATCTTATTGACACAGATCGAACCCACCTCTCTCAGTAGTCACAAATTGCAAAGTTTTAACGCTGCATGTGGAGGAAAAATTTCCTAGCTGTTTCCACCATTTAGTAACTGGTGAGCCTTGTAGCCTCCACCACCCCCATCCCCAGCTTTGCCGTCATTGCATTTCTTTTGAGGCCCAGTGTGAACTCCTGTATAGCCTGGGCACAGTGGAGATCCGGATTCCCGCCCTTGCCATTTGAGGACCAACTCCCCAGGGGAGAAGGGCAATGGGTCCAAAGCCCCGAAGCGGTAGGCAGGGCGTGTGGGGCTGGGGCAGGCAGGGCGCGGATGCCGGCTCACCGCCCCATCCCAGTGACCGACCTTGACCTCCTGCAGGTGCGCGCAGGCGCTGCTGGAACACGGTGCCTCAGTGCGACTGGAGGGCGGCGCCGGCCGGGACACGCCCCTGCACGTGGCTGCGCAGCGCTGCCTGGACGAGCACGCGCGCCTCTACCTGAACTACGGGGCACACGTGGACGCCAGGAACGGCCGCGGTGAGACGGCCCTGAGCGCGGCGTGTGGCGCGGCCCTGCGGCCCGACGAGCACGCGCGCTGCCTTCGCGCACGCCCTGGACTACGGGGGCGCGTCGCCGCTGGCCCGCGTGCTGCAGACAGCCGCCTGCGCGCCCGAGGCCGAGCCGCAGCTCACGGTGCAGGAGCTGCTCAACCACGGCTCCCCCACCGTGTGGCCCGACGCCTTCCCCAAGGTAAGAAGGCCCCCGGGACAGGCCGCGGCGACTCGGCCTGCAGCCCGATGCCATGACGCGCTTCTCAGACTTGCCGGGGCCGGGGAACCCCCGGGACACGGGTCCAGGTGCAGATTCTGAATCCGCAGGAGACGGGTGGCGGAGTCTGGGTTTCTAGCAAACGTGGGACCACACGTTGAGGACCGAGGGCTGGGAAGTCTTTTCTAGAGTTCCTAGGAGATCAAAAGGTTGGGGTGTCAACAAGCATACTCGAGTGTGACCTTGCCAAAGTGTCCCCTGGGAGTGCCAGGGACTTAGTTCTATGATGCTGTGACGGCTCAAAATATTTTGGCCAAGATATCTTTGGGTGTAATTGGTGAACAATGAAATCAGCCCCTTCTCATATCTGGTATCTGACTTGAAATTAAATACCCTATGTGGTCATCCACCTAATTAATGGGATTACCTCACCACACTCCTGTGAAACACTTCAGACTCCTAACATTCCCCAGCTAGGTGTCTGGCAAGTGAAGTGTCCTGTCCAGGGTCAAGGTTGTGCAGGGATCTCAACTCTACTTTGCAGACTTGACTCTGAGCAGCTCCTTGTCTTTCCACATGTCAGATCTACACTGAAATGAGACAGATGAAAAATAAAGATGTCTTATCAGATGGACTTCCCTGATAGTCCTGTCGTTAAAACTCCATGCCTCCACTGCAGGGAGCAGGGGTTTGATCTCTGGTGGGAGAACTAAGATCCTGCATGCTGACAGGCACAGAAAAAATAAAAAATAAAATCTAAAATAAATTTTGAAGAAAAAAAAAGATTTATCATCAGAGACAAAATGTTTTCCAAAAGAAAAGTTCTCAAAATCCTGGTTAGGAGGTTGTCCTCCCCAAAGACTTCATTGAAGGGAGGCCATTCTATTAGATGGGCTTCCCTGGTGGTTCAGAGGGTAAAGCATCTGCCTGCAATGTGGGAGACCCAGGTTTGATCCCTGGGTCGGGAAGATCCCCTGAAGAAGGAAATGGCAACCCATTCCAGTATTCCTGCCTAGAGAATCCCATGGATGGAGGAGCCTGGTAGGCTACAGTCCACAGGGGTGCAAAGAGTCAGACATGACTAAGCGACTTCACTTTCTTTTCTTTCTTTTTATTCCATTAGATGTAAAATTGGCTATGCTTAATTTAAAATTTATCCCAGTCTTGCAAATCATATGCAAGAGACATATTTTGACCTGATAGGTCTTACACAAATAGCTTAAAAACTGTTATCCAAAAAGTATAGTATGCTAGATGATCTGAAATAGTGAGATTCACACAGTTCTCAGATGCCAACTTTGCATTGTGGCTGCATACAGAACACAGTTCTTGTCTCTCAAAACATAGGTGAGACATGGAAAATCCACCCAGACAAGTCCCTGGGCATTCCCTTATTTGAGAAACAGTATGACAATTTCTTAAGCCAGCTCTTGCACTGTCTTCAAGTAATTCTCTTGAGACACTCTACTAATGCTCTACTAGTGATTTCAATTTCCTGGGTTCTTAAAAGGGAAGAAATGCCAGCATTTTTATAGTCTATAACATTTATTTTACAGACTTTTATAATATATTCATAAGTTACATTTTGACATTTCCCAATATTAGCAGGCTTAGTCCATCAGGTGGTAAAACAGAAACAAATGAAAATCTCCCACCCCTCCAGTTCACACCATGAACCCAGATGCATCTTTCAGCCCTTTTGTTGTGAAACTGCATAAAGAATGAATAAGAGGGCTTCCCTGGTAGCTCGGTGGTAAAAATCCGCCTGCCAATACAGAAGAAACAGGTTCAATCCCTGATCCAGGAAGATGCCACGTGCCGAGGAGCAACTCAGCCCACGTGCTGTGACTGCTGAAGCCTGTGTGCCCCAGGTCCTGTGCTCCACAAAAGAGGCCACTGCAATGAGAACCCCACGCAATGCAACTAGAGAGTGACTCCCGCTGACCACAACTAGAGAAAAGCCCATGCTGCGTGAAGACCCAGCACAGTCAAAAATGCATACAATTATCTTTTTAAAAGAATAAATAAGAAACAAAACAAGAAAGAAAGAAGACTTTCCATGATGAGCCACAGTGAAAACCACCTGGGCAAATTCTTTTAAAGAGGAAAAAGTCAATATATGTTGCTGGTGACTAATCATAACCTTTGTTGGCCTGGAGGTCCTTCGATTTGAATAATATCCATCCAGGTTTCCTTGTCCGAGGTGTAGCACCCCAGGCAACATTCTGGGGACAGGACTTGGAACCCCGTGAACTCTGTTTCCAGGGCTGGAGGAATTGCCCCGGTTTGATCCAGAGATGCAGGGCAAGACCTAGTGCCTCCCCTCCGGGCCTCCAGGGGCTGTGTCCTGGGATCCCCTCAGGGAATCCTTTGTCAGCCACTCAGGAATGGAGCCGGGTCAGTGGGGTGCAGGCTGGGTGAGGTTTGCGTCTGGGACCGGCTAGTTGCAGTGCAGAGCCAGGGGCCAGGAGAGGCGCTTGGCTCCTGGAAATGATGATGCATCTCCCAGCAAGGCCACACCACTGTGGAAGGAATCTGAGTTTCTCTGAGAAATCGTAATCTCCAGACAGCTTTCACAGGATAGCAGTATGGCCTGCCCTAAACAGGGCACCGTGCCGGCAACCTGCAGACCTTCCCTCAGAGTTGGTTGAATGAGAGAAGAGTATTCCAGCAACTTCACCGCCCCGGGGACTGCACTGAATCTTTGGAAATGGGCATCCCACCTCTTTATTCTGAAGATCCCCACACCTCCAGAGTGCATCCTTGCATGGGTGCTAAGGGGGTCCACAACCCCGCCCCCTGGCACCAGCGCTAGGAACAGGTTGTGGACAAGAGCGCATTCACCACCGCCCTGGGCATCCTCCGAGCCAATGTGAGACTCTGGCCTCGCCGCCCCTCACCCCCCACCCCCCTACAACTAAAGCGAACACTCTGGAAATCTGGCAGGAGCATCTTCCTCCACCCAGGCCCCCTGCGCGTGCTCCACCGGGGAAGGGGTCTAATCACCCCGCGGGACATCAAAGGGCAGACCCGACTCGCTCAGCAGCCCCGTGGAGCGCGCAGCAAACACGCTGAAACGAGCCACAAAGACGCTCGGCAGGCAGGACTCAGCGCTATGGCGAGGCGTACACAGAAGCACCGGGGAATGTCACAGAGCACGCTGGCCGTGGGCAGCCGCCGCGCTGTAAATAGATGTAAAGAGACACCCACGGAGCTCAGAATTACTGAGGCAAAAGGTTTCACAGCGAGCTCATGACATAAATCACAGTTCCCCCCCACGCCCAGACAAAGGCGCCAGCACCGCGGCGGGCGGACTCAGAGCAGCCGTCGGAGCCGCGCGCAGTGCGCGGCCGCCGACATCAAAGCGGTGTCACGGCTGGGGACGCTGGCGTGTTGACAATGCCAGGCCTTTCTGCCCGGCTGACCGCTAGTTAACACCAGAGTCAGGTCGGGGCGCAAGGGCAGGTGCAGGCGCGGTGTTAGGCTGCAGCCAGGTTTGAATCCTGGAAGTTGGGACGGAAGGGTTCCCGCCCGCCTGGAGGAGAGCGGCCGGCAGGAGGGCGGAGAAACGCACGTGAGGGTGGGTCTGGACTGGTTTCGACTAGTTGAATTTGCAGGTTGGATGCTTGGTCTAGAATAAGGACTTTGCTCACCTTCTGCTAGCCTTCTGCCCCTCACTTGGGCAGTCATAAATAATTCCCGCTTGGAGGGCCTCCCAGGCTTCCCTGGTAGCTCAGCTGGTAAAGAATGCGCCTGCAATGCAGGAGACCCAATTTCGATTCCTGGGTCGGGAAGACACTGGAGAAGGGATAGGCTACCCACTCCAGTATGCATGGGCTTCCCTGGTGGCTCAGATGGTAAAGAATCCACCTGCAATGCGGGAGACCTGGGTTCCATCCCGGGGTTGGGGAGATCCCCTGGAGGGGAGCATGGCAACCCACTCCAGTATTCTTGCCTGGAGAATCCCAAGGACAGAGGAACCTGGCAGGCTATAGTCCTTGGGGTCACAAAGAGCTGGACATGACTGAGCGAATAAGCACAGCACATGAGGCTTCCCAGTTGCTTCGCAGTAAAGAATCTGCCTGCCAGTGCAGGAGACTGGGGTTCGGAAGATCCCCTGGAGGAGGAAATGGCAACCTGCTTCAGAATCCCTGCCTGGGGAAGCCCATGGACAGAGGAGCCTGGCGAGCTACAGTCCATAGGGTTGCAAAGAGTCGGACACAACTAAAGTGACTGAGCACACACACAGACCTGCCCACGAGTTGGAGACATGCCTAAACACCAGTGATGAAAGCTTCCCCCACAGGCATCCTTAAAGCCTTGTTCAACAAACGTTTCTAGGAGCAGCTGTGCTCCAGGCTGGAGTTAGTGTTTCATTGACACATAGAGCTGCCAATCATCTGGGTGAGATGACCTTAACCCAGACAACCACATACGCCACTATGAAGTTGCTGTGGTGTGAAGGCCCTGAAAACCTTGAAAGTGCCAAATGTGGGGAGGAGGGGGTGCGCGGGGGCCAAACCTGGCTGGGCGGAGGTCCAAGGCTCCTTCGAGCTCTTATAGTGCAATCCCAGATCTGAAGGCTGAAGACACAGCTATGTGGAGAGGGGAGGGGAAATCATTCCAGACAGAAGGAACAGCGGGTACAGACGTCCTGGGGCAGGAGGAACACAGCAACATATGTGGGGCTGGGAGGGTAACGCAGTAACTGGAGGGGAACCAGCTGACCTGGGACACTAGGCAGAGCTCCTCTTCAGAGTTGGAGCCTTTGTCTTAAGAACAGTGGCAGTCTATTACATCATCTTAAGCCATCAAGAAAGTGAAAGTGTTTGTCACTCAGTCGTGTCTGACTCTTGGCAATCCTATGGACTAACCAGTCAGGTTCCTCTGTTCGTGGAATTTTCCAGGCAAGAATACTGGAGTGAGTCGCCATCCCCTTCTCCAGTGGATCCTCCCAACCCAGGGATCAAACCGGGTGTCCT